TCCTCCCAAAAGCTCCGCCCCCACCATGCTGGGCGTGGCCTCCTCCCCAAAACTCTGCTCCCCACCAGACTGGGCGTGGCCTCCTCCCCAAAAGCTCTGCCCCCACCATACTGGGCGTGGCCTCCTCCCAAAAGCTCCGCCCCCACCATGCTGGGCGTGGCCTCCTCCCCAAAACTCTGCTCCCCACCAGACTGGGCGTGGTCTCCTCCCAAAGCTCCACCCCTACCCCCCCAACTCCCTAGTCAGGGTGGGGGCCTGGAGGGAGACAGAGGCCAGGAGGCAGCCAGGGGAGCTAGGGGTGGGCATCGGGGTGGAGCATGGCTTCCTGCGGCCCCAATCCCCAGGCCCAAGCAAGGAGATCTCAAGGGCCCCTCCTGGACCTTCCTGCCCATCCAAGCTGAGGGTCCTGGTTTGTTGGCCGAGGGCCTGCACAGCTTCAGGGGTGAGAGGGGCCCCTGGTGGGACCTGGGCAGGTGTTTGTGGGTGGGGCGTCTGAGTGAGGGAGCCCGGGCGAGCCTGGAGGCCCTGGGGCTGTGGAGACGCCGGCATCTCCCCTGATCAACACCAAATGATGCCCCTCCCTGGGCCTCCACCCTCCTCGAGGCTGCCACAGGCACTGCTGGCAAAAGCCTTGGATGCTTGGGCTGGCGGCAGGGAGGGCCAGGTGGCTCCAATGGGGCCTCTGGGGACAGGGTTGCAGGAGGCCAGGATCCTCGTTTTTAACCCTGAGTCCAGCACCCCTGCAGGGCCCTCCAGGTGCTGGGCACGGCTTTCCCTGGACAAAGCCCACAGCTCCACGGGTGCCAGCTGCAGTTCTAGTAAAGATGTGAACACGGAAACCGAGGGACAGGGTTTGCCCCCCAATGCAGCTGCTCCAAGGAGGCCCCAGCTCGAAGGTGCCTCCTCCATGCCCAGTGCAGGCATCGAGCCTCAGCCAGCCCCACCTCCTGTGTCCAGGAACCCCGGGCATGGCCTCTTTCCCAGGACCTCAGCTGGGTGCTGTCTCCACCCACAGCCAGTTCCTCTCCATGTGCCCCCAGGGCCCTGCCCTGTGCAGAGTCCGGGCAGCATTACGGGGAGGGCGTGGTGAGGGCACAGGGAGGGGACAGCCTCGGCCACAGGGACAGGCCAGGCCTCACAGCCAAGAGCCCCAGGAGGAGCTGCACGCACATGGCTGGAGGGAGGCTCTGCACCTGAGCACAGCCTGCTGCAACTCCTCATAGATTTGGAAAATTGATTTGAAGGCAGAGGTGAGTTTAGGAGGGTGGCTGTGCACAAAATTCAGAGTCAAGAATCAGCGTCTTTCAAATTCAAGCACTTCCGGTTAGGAGAGACGAAGAAAGAGAAGGCACCATTCTCAACAGCAACAAAAATTGTAAATTTCTAGGAGCAAACAGCGGGCAGATCTATACCTGTTATAGAGGGTCTGAGGCCTGATCGAGGACCAGACCAGCAACAAGCCCAGTCTGTCCTGGGCATCACGAGGCGCCATCCCCTATGCTGGTCGGCTGCCACGGGGGGGCCAATTAAAACACCAGAGAACCCTGGAACCAGGTACATCGATTGTGAAGTTAACGTGGAAAAATAAGTAAGAAAACTAAGGAAATTCGGGAACAAAAGATCCACAAGGGAACTGTTGCCACCAGGCTTTAACACACACCGGAGGCTGCACCTGGTCAGCCCTGTGTGCAGCTGGTACATGGGGCGGTCCCAGTAACAAGATGAACGGGGAACCCACTGGCATTACAGACACACTAAAGGGGACGTTTTTGAATCAGTGAGGGGCTGTGGTCAGATCAACAGTGCAAAGCCCCCTCCCGGGTCCGTATCCTGCAGACAGTCGGGGCCCGTCTAATGTTCTGGGGACTCCTGCACATCAGGCTGAGGTCATGGGGTCATACAGTAGCATTTCTCTGCATTTCTGGCTAATGACTGAGCAGAAGGGATGTGCATCGGCTCCAGGGTGAGGTAGTGAAAAACCAATGTGCTAAAGAACTCTTACAGTTCAGCAATGCAAAGATAAACAACTAAGTTTAAAAATGGGCAAAGGAGGCCGGGCACGGTGGCTCACGCCTGTAATCCCAGCACTTTGGGAGGCCAAGCTGGGTGGCTCATTTGAGGTCAGGAGTTTGAGACCAGCCTGGCCAACACGGTGAAACCACATCTCTACTACAAATACAAAAATTAGCTGGGTGCGGTGGTGCACGCCTGTAATCCCAGTTACTCAGGAAGCAGAGGCAACAGAATTGCTTGAACCTGGGGGGCAGAGGTTGCAGTGAGCCGAGTTCGTGCCACTGCACTCCAGCCTGGGCGACACAGCGAGACTCTAACTCAAAAAAAAAAAAAAAAAAAGGGCAAAAGAATTTGAATAGATGTTTTTTTCAAATAATGTATGCCACCAGCCAACGAGCTCATGACAAGCTGCTTAACACCATTAGCCACCAGGAAAATGCAAATAAAAACCACATGAGACCACACCTCACACCCACTGGGATGGCTGGAACCGAAAGCATCACAGGTATCACGGCAGAGACACGGGCACCTCACACGCGGCTGTTCTGTTCTTCAAAGTGTGAAGCCGAATTCCATGTGACCCAGCAGTCCCACTCCTGGGAACACGTCCCCGAGAATCAGACACGTGTCCACACGAAAGCTTATCCACAGATGTTCCTAGTAGCATTATTCACAATAGCCCCAAGGTGGGCACAGCCTACATGTCCATTGGCTGAGGGACAGATGGGCACATTGTGGCCTGGCCCCACACTGTTCTTCACCCGTAAAAAGGAACGAAGCTCTGGCCCATGCTCCAAAGTGGATGAACCTCGCAAACATTTGCTAAGTGAAGGTCAGACGTGGACGGCCACATATCACATGAGACCATTTATGTCAAATGTCTGGAATGGGCAGGTCCACAGTGACACAGAGTAGACTCCCGGCTGCCCGGGGCTGGGGGCGAGGGCGTAGCTGGGGGAAAACAGGAAGGGTCTTAGTCCATCCCCACTGCTGTAACAAAACACCTCAGACTGGGTAATTTATAAGCAACAGAAATTTATTTCCTATAGTTCTCCAGCTGGGGAGTCCAAGAATCCAGGCACCGGCAGGCTGGGGTCTGCTGAGGGCAGCTCTGATGGCATATCCAGCCTCACATGGCAGAACTCGGAGGACAAACAGCCGAGCTAGTTCCTTCCAGCCCTTTTATAAGGGCCCTGAGGGCAGAATCATGGCAAGGGATGGGCCTCTGGGGCACCTTTGGGACCACAGAGCTCACTGCCTGCCTGGGTCTCCCCAGATCCTGGCCCAGCCCTCCTTGGCTGCCCCCGCCATGGCTCAGGCAGGCGCAGGCGCAGCTCCACCTGTTGCTCCTGAAGGCGCATGCGGTGGGCTTGGTGGCATCCACACGGTCTGACCCTGCAGGCGACAGTGGCCTCCACCCAGATTTCAAAGGATGTTGCTGACAGTCTTGAGGCCCAGGCAGAGGCTCATCATTGGGGCGGAGCTGCCTCGGAATCCCCAGCGGGGCAATGCCCAGTGGAGCCGAGGCAAGGGGGTGGGGGCTGCCTCCGAGACCCCAGGACCGCAGGGCCACCAGTGACCAAGCGCAGCCTGGGAGAGCGGCAGGCAGGAGACTCCAACCTCCGCGCCCTGAGTGGGCTGAGCCCAGCAAAGCCGTGGGGGCCCAGGCCTGCCCCCATGTGTCTGGAAGGTGGGCAGGGAGTCCAAGATCATCCCCTGTTCATGTCTCCTATGAGTCCTGTCCCTCTAGAGAACGCTGACTCATACGATTTTGTATGTGACGGGGGGAGTACTGGGCCTCCCATGCAGTGCTGTGGTTGCAATGCTTGCATCCTCTAAAGCTCAGGCGGAAACTTAGACCCCAGGCAGTGCCAGGAGGTGGGGCCTGATGGGAGGTGTCTGATCCACTCACGAGGCAGAGCCCTTGTGACTAAAGCCACTATGAAAAGGGCTTGTGGGGCAGGCCCACCCTCCAGCCGGTGAGGATGCCGCATTCGAGGGATCGTCGTGGAAGAGGAGAACCCGACATGGCCCTGCTGGGACCTTGGCCTCCAGACTGGGAGGCAGGAAGTCTCTGTTGATCAACTGCTGTCTGGCATTCTGTTGTGGCTGCACTCAAACCGTGGCGGGGAGTGGCTGCTAACAGGCACAGGACGTCTTCTGCAGATGATAAACGTGTTCCGGAATGAGATGAGTGGGAATGGTTGCACAACTTCGTGAATATACTAAAAACCACTGAATTGTACACTGTACAATGTGACTTGTGTGCATGTGAATTTCATCTCAACAAAGCTGTTTTGC